ATCTTACGAAGACAATGTTTATGAGAAACAGCCTTGTTCCTGACGCCCCATTCGCTCTCAATGGAACGACCATCTCCGAATGCAACAGCTATGTCTACCTAGGTCGAGAGGTCAACATGACAAATGACCTGGCACCCGAGCTGCGCAGGAGGAAGAGAGCGGCTTGGAACGCCTTCAAGAACGTCGAAGAAATAGCTAAGAGGACGAAGAACCTCCGGCTCCGGGCACATCTCTTTGATTCCACTGTTCTTCCTGCATTAACATATGCCTCAGAGACCTGGGCCCTACGCAAACAAGATGAGAACGCCATTCAGGTCTCCCAAAGAAGAATAGAAAGAGCTATGCTTGGAATATCACGTTTCACTCAAATGAGAGAACGAATCCGGAGTTCTGACATCCGTCGACGATCAAGGATCAGGGACGCTGTCTCATTTGCCAAGGTGTCGAAAATCAGATGGGCTGGTCACGTAATGAGATTTAAAGACGACCGTTGGACTAGAGCTTTTACTGATTGGATTCCACGGGATGTCAAGAGACCGCGTGGCCGCCCACCTACCAGATGGTCAGACTTCTTCGTCAAGATCATGAAGGATCGGTTTGAGGCCCTTCATGTTCCCGGAGCGAACAGATGCCATTGGGCTACACTAGCACGCGACAGGGACAAATGGAGACGTTACTGGCACCCGCTCGAGCAATTCGACGACTAACGGGAAGTTAAGTGATTAAGTAAGATTTTCCCACAGTTTTTGCCATGCACAACACAAAATATTGTTTCCTTTATTCTTGTTGTTTGGGTTGGGAGAGGCAGGGGTTGGGCATTTCTCCTGGTTCAGTGCTCAGGGAACTCTCTTGGCAAAACTCAGCAGACCATATGTGTCAGTGCCAGGACATCATTTACAGTGCCAGTATCAAACCAGGATCAGCTGTTTGCGTGGCAAGCTCCTTTCCCCTGTACTCTGTTTGCCTTTGCACTGACTCATGGCCAGGCTGCCCACTCTGTCAGCCTGTCTGTCCTTACATATCGTTTTCAGGTTTTGAAAAATTCACCAAAGGCACTTATCTTAATAAATACATTCTAGATGGTCGTGAGATTCTTTACACATTCCTAATAGTTTATTAAATAAATTTTAACCCCAGAACTAAGTATTTATTTGGAACAATTGTGTTTTCCAGCTCATTAGAATTTTTATCTCTGCATTTTATTGAGCACATTTTTCCCTAAAATGGAAAGATTCCAGAAATGTATCATATTGTTGACAGTTTTTAGTGAAAATTATTAGCCAGTCAGCATCTTTAGTAATTTTCTTCTCTGTCTTCAGTCTAGTACTGGGATGTAAAAGGGGGTTTTTCTAGTCAAAATTTAAAATTATATGTGTTTGAATGCTAGTGGTGGTCTGGAGAGATAGAAGAGCAGATAAGGTGCTTGCCTTGCATCACACCATCTAGATTCAATCCACGGTATCATATGTGGTTCCCCAAGCCCTTTCAGGAGTGATCTCAGAGCACAGAGCCAAGAGTTATCCCTGAGTACCACTAGGCATAGTTTAAAACCAAAGTAATAATAATAATAATAAATAATAATAATAAATGCTGGTGGCAACATAGATTAAGTCACTGGAGCATAGAATTTAGGTTAGTACATATATTAGATCATTACAGTGGGTCTGGCTCTGTTTAAAACTTGAGGGCATTCAGTTAATAAGACATCATCCTACTCTCAAGAAATTCCATCTAGTTGAAGCACTGTAACTTTGAAAATCTGATGATAAAAGCAATTACGTATTTTTTCATAGTTCAAGGTTTCGTTTCGTTGGTGCTCATTCATATTTTTTTTTCTTTTTGGGTCACACCTGGCGATGCACAGAGGTTATACAGGGGTTACTCCTGGTTCTGCACTCAGGAATTACTCCTGGTGGTGCTCAGGGGACCAGATGAGATGCTGAGAATCGAATCTGGGTTGGCTGTGTGCAAGACAGACGCCCTAATTGGTGTGCAATCTCTCCAGCCCCTCATCCAGAATTTTAAGGAGCTGATGAATGAAGAATTATGACCACCTAATCAACAAACCTGTGTAATGAGATAAGAATGAAAATAAAAGAACTGAGAGTTAGTTCAGGGGTTAAGGCCCTTGTCTTGCAAGTGGCTGGTGTCAAATGAGCACCACATATGAGTCCCGGGCACTTCCAGGAATGATCCCTGAGCAAAGAACCAGGAGTAAGCCCTGAACACTGTCATGTATGAACCAAACTCCCCATCTGAAAGAGAATGGGCAAAATATAAAATCCAATCTGACCTTCAAGAAACTTTAAAATAATTTAAGCCACTTGCTTGGGGGAATTATGACCAATCTGTTGGTCGATTTATCCATCACACAAAAAATTACACAAATCATCCTGTTATTCGTCGATTGCCTCAAGTAGGCCCCAGTAACGTCTCCTTCATCCTAGCCCTGAGATTACATTTAAGGTTCTTTAGGAGAATGAGACCCATCATTGTTACTGGTATTTGGCATATTGGGTACGCCACGGGGAGTTTGCCAGACTCTGCCATGTGGGCAGGCTACATATGGTAGCCTGCCAGTTTGTCCAATGTAGGAATGAGATAATAAGATGTCATAATAAGATGTCGCGCGGCCGCGACCCTACTGATTTATCCATGTCTAATTATAATGTTTATACTCCATCCATAGTTCTCTCCCCAAAATAATTTTAACCAGCTTCTCCTGTGCTTTAAAATTTGCAGTAACTCCCAAGTTAGTGCCCATAGTAGCAAACTATGTCCTTTTTGTTCCTGTTACAGCAAGTGTGATAGATGGTGACTATTATTCTTTTGAGCAGCCCCAGTGCAGGCTCTGATGCGCAAAGTGTCGTTTGCAAGTTCAGACACGCCAGCTGGAACTTTTCCTCACTTCTCACCAACTCAAGATGGCAGATCAAAACACCAGAGTGAGACAGTCACTCTTGTGGGCTCTGATACACTTCAAAAGTGAATTCTCTTCAAACTGCTCTGCTGTCACTAATGAACTCCTCAAAATTAATTGTAGTACAACTGAAGACAAAGCTCAGAATTCCAGCCTTTTTCTGTTCAGTTTATACTCATGGGCCAGCCATGTGTCCTAAAATTCATTTCCCAGTCTTTCCTCGATTGGGGGGGGTCTCTTCTACCTCCCACTTCCCACCCACCTCTAACATACAAAGATACCCTTTCCAGATCACATAAAGACCATAGTTATGAACATCCTCTGTTGGTTCTTTCTGACGATGATACTTTCTGTCCACTTCTGTATTCTCTGAGATCCCTTTGCAGGTCTGACGTGACGTCCCACTCTCACCAACAGACCCCAGGAATGCTTAAACCCTCACCTATGTTCCTGCACTACTTTCTGTCAGAAGTTGGTTTAACTTTAAGTCTCACTTTTTTTTATCTGCCCAAGTGCATTTAATTGAATTCTTTTCCAGAGAGCAGAAAGTACACCTCACCTTGGCAAGATACTTAGGGGAAAATATATTGAAGAGACTACAGCAAAGGTTGTAGTGTAACTGATTCAGAGATCCTATTGTGTTTGTTACATTTTATTCCTTTTTGTCACAGAAAAAAAATGTGCTTAAGTTTAAATATTTGAAGTGAAAGGATATGATTTTTTCCTCCAAGTTCTTATCCTCATACCTGCATCTTCTCAGTAGTTCAGAAATTGATTGTACCATACTCTATTCCCATTCCTCTTGAATTTCCAGTGTCTGTTTTCACGGATTTTGCTGTGAGTTGCCACATTCTATAGAGATTGGGAAAGACACAAATTTTTGCTTTTTCTGCTTCTAAACGTCTCTATTGAAGCATTGAAAAGAGAAAGAAATACTGACAGAGGCACTGCATTTCATTGTATCCTCATAACTGCGTCTTCAGTTCATGTAGCTACTTCATACATCCTATATGTATTCATTAGAATGTTTATAAAAAGAATCAGCACAAATGAACCCATGTGTTCTGACCAAAATAGAGAATATTTGGAAATCATTGGCTCACAGTTTCTGTTTCTTTTCCTCTCCTTCAGATTAAGGAACAGTGACATATGAATAGTGAAAGATGACATAGCTCCATTCTCATTCTTGGGGTAGGGAAGCCGGGGTCAGGGCACAACCAACTGTGTTCTAACTATGCCTAGTTCTGTCCTCAGGACTAGATGCTGTGTCAGGGATTTGAACCAGGGTCTGACACATGTGGGGCAGGAGCCTTAGCCCCTAAACAATCTTTCCAACCCCCTCAATTGATACCTTTGTGGGAAGGGACCACACCCAGCAATGCTCTTGGCTCATGAGTATCCCTTTACAGTACTCAAATGAACCGTATGTTCTGCCAGGGACTCCTATTAGGATCAGGCTGTATACCAGAAAAGTGCTTATCCCCTTCGCAATCTTTCCAGCTGTATTACCATTTTTTTTCTAAATACACTGAAGTATGCATTGAGATCAGTACCTTTTATAATTTCCTGCATAGAGGATAATCAATGAATGGCTCATGATAGCATATTAGGTATACTGAACATTCAGAATGCATGGCAGTTAAATTATATGGAAGATTAGAAGCATAGAGGCATAGATAGATATATAGATATATAGAAAAATTTACTGTCCATCTGATCACTCATTTCTAACATATTAAAACTTTATATTAAAATACTGTCATTCATGTTGCCTTATTTTCCAGAGATAGTAGTTTAAAATAAGAATCTTGCCAAGAACTCATGGGTGAGCTGGCTTTTTGCTTCTCTTGTCAATAGTAAAAGAGAACAGATACTCTCAGACAGGTTCAGTCACTCATCCGGTTTTGTAGCTCAGGAAGCTCCTTAGCATGTGCATGCGGTTCGTTTTCTGTAGAGCATGGCTTTATTTACTTTCTTTGCATCTCGTGACATTACTGCATGAGTTTCTTATGACCACTGTGATTTTTAGGACATAATACAAACCTGTTTCTCACACCAGTTGTCTGAATTTGTCTTTCAGATTTTCATGTAGAAGAAGCACTGGATTGGCCTGGAGTATACTTGTTACCTGGCCAGGTTTCTGGGGTGGCTCTGGACCCAAAGAATAACTTGGTGATTTTCCACAGAGGTGACCATGTCTGGGATGTAAAGTAAGTAAGAGTTCTCCACCACGAGTAAATAATAATCAAAATAGCATGTTTCAGTTTTTGTTAAACTAAGAATAATGGCAGGGAAATGATCAAAGTTCTTTGTAAGGTATGAGTATGGCAAGAAGCAGTATGGATGTCTTATGTCGTTTATTTATTTTTCTTTGGGGGGGGGGGGCTGCACACCTAGAGATGCTAAGGTGTTACTCCTGGCTCCACATTCAGGAATTAACTCCTGGCAGTACTCAGGGGACCATATGGGATGCTGGGGATCAAACCTGGGCTGGCCACATACAAGGCCTTCACCACTGTATTATCTCTCTGGCCCCTCTCTGGCCTTTTAAAATCTTTACATTTTGTCTATTCATTTCTGGAAAGAAGGCACTAACAACCAGACGTTCTGCCATTTTGTTTCTTCTTGCTTCAAGCTACACTTCATAATACCAAGAAGAGTAACATTAAGTCGGTTAAAAAAATTCTCTGAAAATTTTCAGAACATTTTCGAGGAGCTGCCATGAAGTACCCACGAGATTCGGGAGCTTCGCCAGGGCCACCCCCAGTGATGCTCAGGGGACCATGCAGTGATGGGTATCAAACCCGGGTTAGCTGCATGCATTATGCCCTAACCACTGTTCAATTTCCCAGCACCAGTTTTCAAGACTTTTTAAAGGTAGTGCATCATGAGAAACAAAATGTATTGGTTGGCTAGGGTAAAACACTTTGTTCTTTGAATGTATTGGATGCAGATTTGCAAAGAGCGCTTTGAATTCCCTTTCCTTCAAAACTCAACTTTGGTTCCACAAAACTGACCAGTGAATCTTCTCAGACTGTGATTAGAACAATTCAGTCATTAATGTGTAGGAATATTATCTGGACCTTCAGGTTTTCATAAAGATTCATTGTAATAGTTCAGCATTCATCTTTCTGAATTGTGGAGAACTCAGAACAAGGTAGAACTCATGAATACCCAGGCTTTTTCCTCTGAGTATCTAATTCTGATCTGTCATTGTATTTTCCAATGCCATTTTAGATGTATATTTGGATTTTAAAAGGTCTAATAGGGCTGGGGCGATAGCACAGCGGTAGGGCGTTTGCCTTGCATACAGCCAGTCCGGTCGAGCCGAGTTCGATTCCTCCACCCCTCTCAGAGAGCCCAGCAAGCTACCGAGAGTATCTCGCCCACATGGCAAAGCCTGGCAAGCTGCCCATGATGTATTCAGTATGCCAAACACAGTAACAGCAAGTCTCAAAATGGAGACCGTACTGGGCCCGCTCAAGCAAATCGGTGAACAACGGGTGGACTGTTTTTGTTTAATGCTTATGTTATGTATATGTATGATATATATGATGTTATATTTTATAAATTTATCAACCATAGTTAGACATTGTTTTTATCATTATCATTCACATGAAACTGAACCAGAGTAAATCTGTTGCCCCAAGTGTCACTGTAATCAAGTGGCAAAGGCCTGTTTTCATTCCTTCCCATCTCACCCTGGAACTGAAATCACGCAACATGATAATATTTATCATAGCTCACTCTGACAGTATGAAGGTTATTTTTATTGTCCTGAGTAATGAAATAGCCATTTGCTTGTTTTATCAAAAATTTATATATTAATATATTTATATTTTATATTTATATAAATGTATATATCAAAAAATTATAAATTTTAAAATATTCTCTAATTAAAAATCAGGGACCAGAGCAATAATACAGCAGGTAGGACATTTGCCTTTCACATGGCCAACCCGCGTTCAATCACCAGTATCTCATATGGTCCCTGAGCACCTCCAGGAGTGACATCTGAGTGTAGAGCCAAGTGTAAGCCCTGAGAACCTTGAGATGTGGCCAAAACAAAACTAAATTTAAAAATTAAAATACTGCATCTCAGGCTGGATTTAGTTCAGTGGATAAGGAGCATACCTTGCATGCAATCAACTCAGGTCAATCCCTGGCATCCCATCTGATTCCTCAGGCACCATCAGGAGCCATTCCTGAGCACTGAGCCAGGAGTGAGCACTGAGTATCGCAAAGTGTGACCCAAACACCTCCCAACCCCAACAAAATACTTAGTCTTTTCCTTTCGAATGTGTGGATGAAGAGTCTACTTTTATAGCTCAGTTGTTTTCATCCTTTTAAAGAGATTTTGTAAGTTAATTTACACTGTCACATATTTGTGTATTTAGTATAATGCTTCATACTCTCATGTATGCAGTTAAAGATGGAGCTTATTCTATCAGTTTTTTTTTTCAAATAGATTTGTATATTTGCAGCTGGTTAATTGTCTTCACAGTTGTCGAAGTTGAAGTTGCAATCTGAGAAAGGGAGATCACTCTCTTCAGAGTTCAGAGGAACCAGTGGAACTCAACGGTCCTATTCATGCATTGTTATATTGTTATAGTCAGCATTTAACAGTATTTTAATAAGTGCTTTGAAGAGTGAATTCTAAAAAACTCTTTGTCACATAGTTTTCATTTTAGTGAAAATTGCCATAATTTCTGCATGGATTTCTAGCCACATTTTACCGGATGGAAAAATTACAGCTTCTTTTTCTCCCATCCATACTATTTCTGTTGGCTAAAGCTAAATTGAACCAAGGCCAGTTTTCCATTTTAATTTAATACTCCTTCCAAGTAAACAGCAGGGGCTGGAGTCATTTAATGGAAAAGGGGATCAGTAGATGCCAGAGTGGGGTAGAAGATGGCACAGATTCTGGAATAAAAAACACATCAGAACATTTTGTGAGACTTTCAGCTGAAGAACTGAGACTTTCTGACCTTTACCTCTCATCTGGACAACAATTGTGATCTGATTTCCCTTTTATTACCAAAGCTATAGTATGTTTAACAACCCCCCTCCAAAAAATATAGTACCACCAAAGGGACATTGTTAAAAAAATGCAACATTTCTTCAGAGATGAGGAGCTAACTCGTTAAACCCCAGATTCTTCTTTACTTTATTTTTATCTTTCAAAAATAAGAATATATGTTGTCGTTTTCCTTCTTCCTCTTGCTCCTTGCCTGGTGATTACTAGCATCCCTTACAGTTCATGGACTTAAGGAAATTTTCTTCTGGCACCCAGATCTCTGCTTTCAACAGTGCTTTGTTTTATTATTCATGAAGAGATTCCTTGAAAGCAGATTTACTATCAGTGAAATTGAAGCAATCCTTCATATTTTAGGAAACAATTATACTTTAGGTATCATAAAGTTCTGACAGTTCATAATAATTCCTAATTAACCACACAGTGGTCAAAGTTCTTCAGATAATACCCATCAGCTCTTATATAAATACTGTTATTCTTCATTACTATCTATAGCCCTGATGCATCTTGGCTCTCCTGCTTATTCATGCCTAATAAACATGGCAGAAAGAATGAGCAGAATAAACCACTTAACCTCCTGCACAAATGCTGCCACTCCCTTTTTCAAGCTGACTTCAAGTTTCCTTCCTGACTGCCTTTTACTTCAGTCTGGCTTCAGTAAGAAATTTCCCAGCAGGAGCTGGTTGGCTCATGCCTGGGTAACAGCTGTTTCTGGGGCTTTGTCTTCAAATCATTGTCTCTGTCAAAGGCTTACTTGTTGATCTTTTATTCATCTGAGCTTGGTGGAGGCTTCACTTTGAGGAATTCACATCATATACTCTCCTAACTAAACCAGGAGTCTTGCCCTTAACTTTTTTAAATTTAATTTTATTTTATAAAGTTGTTCATAATATATGCATTATATTTAATATTCAAACACCAATCCCACCACCATTGCATCTTCCTACTACCATATTTAGAAGGTTTCCACCCCAAATCCTACATCATGCCCCCCCAAAGCGAACCAAAATAATTACTTTCCTATTGCTTGTCATGAATGATCTACTAAAAATGGTCCAGTAAAGTTTTCTTTTTTTTTTTCTTTTTTATTAGTGAAACACCATGAGGTACAGTTGTAGATTTACAAATTTTTGTGCTTGGATCTCGGTCATACCACGATCAAATACCCATCCCTCCACCAGTGCCCATTTTCCACCACCAGGATAATATCCCTCCCCCCCCCATCCTCCCATCCCCCCATCCCCCCCTGCCACTGTGGCAGGGCATTCCCCCCTGTTCTCTCTCTCCTCCTGGGCGCTGTGATCAGCCAAAGAGGCATTGAGTGGCGAACATGTTCAGTCCAGTCTACTTTCAACCTGCATCTCCCCTCCTGGGAGGATCCTCCAAACACCCTCCACTTGGTGTTCCCCTTTCTATCTGAATTGTCCTTTCCCCTAGAATACCCAACTGGCCTCTAAGTTATAGAGTAATTCTCCTGGTGTTGCTCTCAGCTATTCTTGGGTATTAATCTCATATTTTATTATTTTATATCCCCCAGATGAATGCTATCTTTCTATGTCTATCCCTCTCTTTCTGACTCATTTCGCTTAGCATGATACTTTCCATATTGTACCACTTGTATGTAAAGTTCATGACTTCATCTTTTCTAAGAGCCACATAGTACTCCATTGTGTAGATGTACCAAAGTTTCTTTAACCAGTCATCTGTTCTTGGGCACTCAGGTCTCTTCCAGTTTCTGGCTACTGTAAAGAGTGCTGCAATGAAAAAACAAGTGCAGATGTCACTTCGGCTACACGTTTTTGCCTCTCTGGGATATATTCCCAGGAGTGGTATCGCTGGGTCAAATGGGAGCTCAATTTCTAATTTTCTGAGGAACGTCCATACTGTTTTCCAGAAGGGCTGAACCAGTGGACATTCCCACCAACAGTGAAGGAGTGTCCCTTTCTCGCCACATCCGCGCCAGCACCGGTTGCTTTTGTTCTTTTGAATGTGGGCCAGTCTCTGAGGTGTGAGATGGTATCTCATTGTGGTTTTGATCTGCATCTCCCTGATGATTAATGATGTAGAGCATTTTCTCATGTGCTTTTTTGCCATTCGGATTTCTTCTTTGAGAAAGTTTCTGTTCATTTCATTGCCCCATTTTTGGATGGGGTTGGATGTTTTCTTCTTGTGGAG